GTTTTCTTCACTCTGCTCTCCTCCAAATGGAGAAGGACCAGAATTGCATCTTAAATGGCACTACATATGATTATTTGAATGTAGTTAAAGTTCACTATTTTAGATTGCACAAACCTTATTTCATACACTCAGCAGCTAATCGTAGCTAGTGACTACAGTATTGGATAGCACAGACAGAGAACATACTCTAGACTCGCACATTCTGTTTCACAGTGCTCTTTTATAACAGACATTTGAAGGAGGAATGCCGTTCCCTGCTCCATTCTTGAAACCCAAGACAAGGTCTGGCACCAAGTAGGTGCTTAATAAACAAGTGATGAATATTTAAGTAACAAATCACAAATAAAACGTCAACGGATTTATGTAGCGGGCTTTAGTCCACAGAAGATATTGGGAACACCAAGATGAAGGACAGTACTCAAATATTCAATTAAATCACCCTGTGACAAGGAGATGCTTCCCCAAAGAGTCACGCAGACCACAGGTCAAGTTGTAAATATAACTACATGAAGCATGCTCACTGGTAGTTCAACAAGAAATTCATTTCATTTTGAAAAAACATAGGAAGATTTATAATTTTCAGGGCAAGAGGAGGAAATAACATGAATCAAGACCTGAAAGTCTGCAGCAGCGTATGCTGTAAGGAGCAGTAAGCAAGCACGCGGTTAGAGCGTCTGGCGTGTTAACAGGAGGGGAGGGAGAATGAAGCCAAAAAGTAAAAGTGGGGCCTGACTGCAAAGTTCGTAAATGCTGCCATGCCAAGAACGGTGGCCTCGTTAGGATGTAGCCGACGGGAAAACCCAAAGAGAAATAATCGGAATGTCCTTTGTTTCTGGGGAAATAATTCTGACAGTATTGTGGATAATTAGAAGAAAGGCAGGTTTCTCCCTGCTAATAGTCCCATAATGCCTAGTCTGTTGTCTGCACACAGTGAGCATTGATCTGTGCTGGGGCACCCATTATACCAGATACAAAATAAACTCAGTGCGGAAATTTCCGTAAAAAATCTCTGAGAAACAAATAAAATGCCTAGTTACTTTGAGGTTTCCATGCCCCTGCTGCTTATTGCTTTAAATCAGCAAGTATAATTATTTCCTACTAGAAATGTACTACATAAAAAAATAAATTCCAAAATGAATTCTCGTAGGTCTAATTTTTACCCCATAACTTTCAGTGCAAGTAATGGATCAAAGGGGCTAAGAAACAAGCAACTTACCTCATTTTAATATCACAGTTAAATTTGAAACCGAATTTTTCAACAATTGGCTTGAAAACCTGAAAGATCCATGTGCAATTCTTTCAATCAGCAATGTTCAACAGTAAATATATTTATAACAAATATTTTTATTAAACAAAAGTACTATGCATTGAGCTAGGCATTAGACACTATAATCAGTAATATGAAAAATGTCTAGGCTAGTTCCATTCTTTAAATGAGATAACTGATAGGTAGCTAAAATTAAAAGTGTAATATTTAATTAATCTGGGCTGCACAAGTCTATCTAATCTATCTTTCTCTTTCTCTCTCTCTCTCTCACACACACACATGCGCACCGGATTCATAATGCTTAATCAACAGCTCAGTGCACAGCCCACTATCCCACCATGGCTGTCGAAACCCTACAGGACATATCCACTCTGTCCTACAGGGCCTCTAGGAGTCTGAATCAACTTGATGGCAGTGGTTTGGTTTTGGATACTGAATCTCTGCTCATTTCACTCCAGAGTCCCATTTTTCTTAGCCATTTCAATATAATACTCTAAGAAATTAAGAGATGTTGGTGAAAAACATTCCTGCCTTTTCAATTTTTGTTTAAACAGTTAAAATCTCATTGCATGTAAATGTATTACCCTTATTTTTCCGATTTAACATTTTAAGCGTAAGTATTTTCCCAACATCATGAAATGATAAAACTTCCTAATTGAGTTAACATATAACATTCTATTATAATTCACTTAACCACTGCACAAGCTTTCACTATTATATAATGTTCCGGTCAAATACTTGTAGCATGTAACTTTTGTTGCACTTTGTGGAATACAATAATAGAATTACTAGGTAAAGAGAGATGGACTTTAAGTCTCAGGATAACAAAACTTAATGAGATAAGCATTGGACTACTAACTGCAAGTTAAGCAGTTCAAACCCACTGGGCACCCTGGGGCAGAAAGATGAGGCTACCTGCTCCTGTAGAGATTTGTGCATATGGTCACTGTGAGTCTGAGTCAACTTGATGGCAGTAGGTTTGGGTTTGGATTAGTATGATAAGAAAAATAAAAATCTGAGGCTATCAAGTAGTGTGAGAATGCTGCTCGCTGGAGCTCTCCTGTGCTCCTGGGGAACATGCAATATGATCCAGTCACCTGGAAAATACGTTTCACTCTAAGACCTCAGTAATGCCAAAAGAAACGAGAACTTAAAACTACGCATGTTATAGTGCCTTCCTTCATAATGGACCCAAACTGAAAACCACCCAAATGTTCTCCAACAGATGAACACACAAATACACTGATGCACACGTGCAATAGGACAGTACTTAGCACTACAAAGGAATGAATGTACTTTTGATATACACAACATGTATAAATTTCAAATGTATTACAGGAAGTGAAAGAAACCGACTCAATGCCCTAGTCACCCTTCAAGTACAGAACTGAACTCACCATCAGCCAAACAGGCAGGCCTATAAGGGGAACGGTAACACTAGAAAGGTTACTACTCCTTAGAAAAATCAGCCATTTGAGATCAAAAGTACAGCATTTACCCCAAGATAAAGTTCAGAAAGTTAAAGGAAGGAAATTGAGTAAGAGATGTTATACCAGGGACTGCACCATTAAAATGTGAAATAAAAGGTGTATGAATTGCTGAACGGAAAAACAATCTGCTCTGTAAACCTTCTCCCAATTCCCGATAAACAGTCTCAAAGGGGATGCTACCTACTGTATTATTCCATGCTGGTGGAGGAAAAAAGCAAAACTCTGACAGGCTAGGGACAGGATGGACGACAAAGGACAATGAGGAAGTTTTGAAGTGAGGGGATTTTGTTGTTGTGGGCATTTCAGGACTGTGTGTGTCTGTCAAAGCGATACACTACAATGATAAACCTTATTGTAAACAACCACAACTGACCACACCTAGAGGAAGATAAAGGATTATACTACTTTTCTCTTCTACTACTTGTATATAAGCAGACCAATATTTAGTTTCACCATTTTAAAAACCTAAAGGCAGAGCATGGCATTTCACTCTTGCTTTAGCATTTTTCCCCCCTATAAATGATAATCCTAGTATATATATATATTAATTGTAATTAAGATTTTTAATACTGTTCTAAAATAATAAAACCTATAGTAAGCACAACCCCACCCTCTCCAGCAACAGAACTGGACGCAGAGAGAAGTGAGAGGGGAAGGTACAGAGAAATGGTCAGGCTATATTTGAACAGAGACTGGCGGAGAAGAATGCATGCGATAATCTCCGGTGGTCAACAAGAAGAAAAGCCCTTACCATGACTGTGTAATCGATCTGGGGGGCCATTTCAGCATTGGTTCCACCCTTCAGATGCAGTTCTGATGGAGAAGCAGCAAAGAGAACACAGGGCATTGAGACTTGCATCAAGAGGCACACACTCCTAGCGGGAAGAAGGCAGAACAGGTTTAGCATATTTTCTTTTAAAGTCTGGCCTCAAATTAGTAAAGAAAGCTGTGTTACTACACACTGGCATCAGCTAAGGCACAGGAAACTGAGAATGCAGGCTCATGCCTCTAAGTTTAAAGAAATGACAGTATCTAAAAGAATTTAGCACAGTGCTACACATGGATAAAGAACCAGCTTTAAATGATAGGCGCATCTGGGTTTGAATCAAAGCCTAAAATAAATACTTCTTAGCTATAAGACCCTGGGTAGGTTCTAACACAGGTTCTTCATTTCACAGAAATAAAAAAACAAACTAAGTGATTAAAATCACACCTTCACAGTGCTTTTATAAAGGATTCTATTTAAAACAGTCAAGGTACAGAAATATTCGGTTGATTGTAGCTGAGTCTTTATGACATGCATTAGATGTTGGACTTGACCCAAAGTAGGCAGTTCAAACCCACCAGCTGCTCCTCAGGAGAAAGATGAGGCTGTCTGCTCCTGTAAAGCCGAGTCTCCGGCACCCGATGGAGGGCCCTATGAGGAGGAAGCCACTTGACGGTAATGAGTTGGCTTTGAGTTTTGGTTATCGTGTACATGGAGGCCCTGTTCTAGACCCCAAGTTATGCTACAATTCCTGTCATCATGGAGTGTACGATTAAAAACAGAAGTCATTTTAAATAAGACTATAAAAATTGATCATTGAACATTTTACATTAAGAAACTTACTTTACTAGTCTATTTGAGCCTCAAAATTTAAATAATGTGAAACACCAGTACAAGAAATGATATTATTTGATCAAATTTCCTAAACACACTTATTATTGTTGTCGTCAGGTGCCATCCGTCAGTTCCAAACCACAGAGGCCCTCTGCAGGACAGACTGGAACCCTGTGCCATCCTCACAACTGCTCCTGTGCCTGAGCCCATGGGGAAACACACTTACTCCCGACCTATTGACTATCCGACACTGTGCATTTAAAATAGCACCCCGCCCCCCCAAAAAAATCGATGCTCGACAATCCTTCGTATGAACACAGCAGTAGAACGGCTGCAGAAACGGCAGTGCACCCTTCTCTGCAGGAGGATCTCTAGGACGCTGGGCTGAGCTGGCCTGCACCATCTCACAGCCTGGGGCTGAGGGAACAGACACAAACAGTACCAGCTGGCCAGCCCCTATTTTGAGTTCCCAGCTCCTATGTGGACTAAAGCCCTACAGCTCAAAATTGTTGTGGGGTGAAGTAGAAGGGGAAGAGAGAAAAAGGGCTCAGAGAGGGGGTTTGGAAGACATGTGTGATTTAATAAGGCATCCCACAGCCAGCAGAAATTGGCTCAAAGCCTCAGTCCTGTGGGTACAATGCCAGGCGCCTAGCTCTCCTACAGGAAGTCTCCGTAACTCACCAGAGCAGAAAGGCAGAGCAGTCAAGGGGAGGCAAGCATATTCGTAAATAGACTGTAGTTTGAAAGAGTTTGACATAGATGACCCATACTGAGATGAAACTTTAGGTTGCTTTTAAAAGGCAATAATACATATGGACTGAATTGGATATTCTCCGACACTGATAAAGAATTTTATTAACTCAATAAATACTTTTTGACTGAAATGTATGACAAAATTGAATTAGATCTATAATCCCTGTCCTCAAAAAGTTCAATGTAGTGCAATTGAAAGACTTGGAAATATTCAACTGACTATAAGTGGTAATTTTTTGTTTTTAATTAAAAGATTATTTTATTGGGGGCTCTTACAGCTCTTATAACAATCCGTACATCAATTGTATCAGGCATATTTGTACGTATGTTGCCATCATTATTTTCTCAGCATTTACTTTATATTTGAGCCCTTGGTATCAGCCCCTTTTTTTCCCTCCCTTCCCCCCTGGTGACCCCTTAATAAATTATAAATGATCATTTTCATATCTTACACCGACTACTGTCTCCCTTCCCCCACGGGTTCTGTAGTTCCTCCCCCTGGGGGGGGGGGGCTGGCGGGTAGTTACGTGTTGATCATCACGATCAGTTCCCCCTTCCTCCCCACCTTCCCCCAACCCTCCTGGGATCGCTAGTCCCATTTCTGTTCCTGGATTCCATGTGTCTTGAGTTCCTATCTCTTATCTGTATCTGTGTATATGCTCCAGTCTAACCCCGCAGTGAAAGGCAGGACTGGGGTCATGATAGTGGGGGGTGAGGAAGCCTCAAGGAACCAGAGGAAGATTGTCTATAAGCGGTAGTTTTAACTGTTGTATTTCTCATTGTTAGTCTCTCCAAGTACATCAGGATAATACGATAAAAGATCGAAAGTTATCAAGGATTTCATCTTGCTTGGGCCTATAAACAATGTGCATGGAAATAGCAGTAAAGAAATCTCTTTAAACTGTTGAAGAGCAAAGGTGTCACTCTAAGGACTAAGGTGCTTTTGATCAAAGCCAAGCCATTCCAATTACCTCACGAACACGTGAAAGCTGGACCATGAATGAAGAAAACTGCAGAAGAACTGATGCCTGTGAATTATGGTGTTGATGAAGAATATTCCAAGTCCCAGGGACTGCCAGAAAAACAAATCTGTCTTGGAAGTGTAGCCAGAATGCTCCTTAGAAGCAAGGATGGTGAGGCTTCCTCTCACGTACCTTAGATGTGTTTCCACGAAAGACCAGTCCCTGGAGAAGGACAGCATGTATGGTACAGGGGAGGGTAAAGGCGGAAGACCTCAAGGAGATGGACTGACACACTGGCTGCAACAATGCGCTCAAGCATAAGAACAACTGTGAAGCTACCACAGGGTGGGGTGGGGTTTCCTTCTGTTGTATGTGAGTCAGAACAGACTCAATGGCCCCTAAGAAGCAGTCTTAGTTTTACAGGACTCCTCTAAAAGATTTTCCTCCCAATAAAACTAGATTCTAAGAATAATAAAGAAAAACTTAATTTGAAGACAGTATGAAAGTATGAAAATAATTTGTCTCAAAGTTCATGTTTCAGTAATAAGTAGCATGTGAATAAATAAGGTGTTTTCTTGCTAGGATCCTATTTGTTTTAATCTCCTAAATCAAATTGGATGATCAACTTTAATTTTAATTTTCCAGACTCTTGTGGATCAAGAGGCAGGAAACCTGGATTCCAATTCTGACCCTGACTCTAAGACAGGGGTGTCAAACTGGTAAATTTTTTGTGACCCATGATGCCCTGAAATAAAATGATAATAGAAAAAATTGTGAAGAAAATAGCACTTAGGGGAGACGCGGCAATACCGTACACACAATTCCCTAGTTACATTTTATTTCAGAGCATCGTGGGCCACAAAAAATTACCTTGGGGGCCGCATGCAGCCCGTGGTCGCCAGTTTGACATCCCTATGCTAAGAGTCAACCACTGAACTCCATGGGAAGTTGATTTCCTTGGCACAAAGAGGAAGCAAGGTTGGTGTATATGGTTTCTATTTTCCCTTTTGCAGCCCTGAAAGTCTTTGATTCTGCTTTAATTACTTTCCAGACAGTCTGTTATAGATCATTTCCCCTTTTATTGTTGGAGAATGCTGGAAATAATATCTTTCTTATAAAGATATCTCAAAATTCTTTAAATCCTACAGGAAAGTTCCCTTGGTCCAGCAGAAGCTGCCATGTCACTGAGGTCTATTTACCTCATAATGCAAATCTCAAGGAACACTTAGTATAATCTTAAATTAAGCAAATCCTAATCCTTCAAAACCATCATTTCTGATAAAAACTGGCACCAAGCTTACAACATTATTTCTTATTTTATCAAGTTTCTTAGTAAATAGATAGGATTTGGGGAAAGGATACTATTCAATTAACAAGCAGCCAAATGCCACCGTAAGACAACACAAAAATGTTCTCAACACAAGGTGGGATTCTTGAAAATGATAAGTGTCCAATTTAATTGCTCAGCATCATTTCCCAATGAGGGAAAAATCGGGATCAGATAGAACATTTTCTAAATAGGGTTACATAAACCAAAAACCATCCTGCTGCCACGCAGTGAATTCTCACTCATAGCAAACCTACAGGACAGACTAGAACTGCCCCACAGGGCTCCCAATTATGGACGCAGAGTGCCACATCTTGCTCCTTTGGAGTGGCTGGTGGGTTCAAACCACCCACCTTTCAGTTAGCAGCCGAGCACTTAAACACTACACCACCAGGGCTCCTCTTAAGTACCTATTAAAAGACAGCAAACATAAGTAGACCAACACTAACAGAATATAATTCACAATTAGCTATAAGCCAATAAGTAATTTACTAGGTAAAAATTATTAAAACTACAGCATACGAAAACTTAATTTCAAATATTCTATTTAAGTATTTAAAAAAAGTAAGGAAATCAATAGGCTACAGATGAGGCAGCTGCAAAAAGTTCATGGGAAAAGTGGAATTAAAAGATAATGGAATTTTTTTTGATGAACCTTATTGAAGCTCCCATGTATTAAATTACACATGCAAAAATCCTAAATGAACATGTAGGTCCCCAGACCTCTACATATATACTATGTTCAAATCTGAGAGGTAAGCATTTTATCTCCATCTAAAAAGAATGAAAAAGAAGGTAGAAATCTAGGACAATCTGGATCTGAACCCGAGTCTAACACCAAGGCTGTACATCACTGTGCTACATACCCAGCTGTCCTCGTATCTGCAGTGTGGGTTCCACCTTGGATCTTCTCTGGTGTGAAGGTTATTTCTGTCGAGCCAATTTCAGCACCCTCCAGTTGCCCATCACACAAATCCCGAATCATTTCCAATCCAGACAGATGTTGAGGCCTTCAGGTGATAATACTGCATCAAAACGTGTGCATGGGGACTGCCCAGATCCCCACCTTTTATGCCACATTTATAAAACCGCATCAGCAACCTAACAGTCATGTCTAACCTTCAACGGGAAAGACTTCCATTTGTGTTTTGTATGCACCCCAAAAAATGGCTAATAAGCAATTATCAGGATTCCTCTGAGGTCAGTGGGGAGCCTGGGGAACGTGGAGTGGTTATGAGTTGGGCTGTACTGCAAGGTGAGCAGTCAAACCACTAGCTTTTCCACTCCCCTAAAGAGTTAGTCTCAGAAACGCCCAGCTGCCCTACAGGGTCCTCACCAGTCAGCGCGGACTGGATGGAAGTGAGCGTGGGTTTTAGTTAGTTGCATCCAGTTAGGTTGGATATACATGCATACGATGTTTCGTTAAAAACTGGAAGTGGCAAAAGAGTAAAACAACCTACACGTCACTAGTGTCACCTAAACCGATTAGTCTTTGACATCCAAATCAGTTTAATAAGTTACATTCCCTAAGAGGCGGACTGGATTGTTAAAGTTTACACATCAACAGGAGCCTTTTGTGAAGAAAATAAGAGACCACCACGGGCTGCTTAGCTATTAAAATGCCACGTGACTCGGAATAAGGACTCAAAGAACCAGATTGGCTTCGATCCAGATCCTCTCCTAACAGGTGCCTGAGTTTAAGTCCCGGCACACCCAGCTTCCCAGGCTGAGGAAAGGGGCAAACATCAAGGTGTTTCTCTCTCCCCAACAGAGCAGTCTACTCTTATTCACAGCTCCCTGGAGGGCTGAGTGAAATAGGTTAACATATTTTAAAGGGGTGTTTCCTGGTCTAAGATTCCAAAACGAGAGGCAGCGGAGGATGCACCGGTTAGAACAATGGCCACACAGGCAGTCAGGTCCTGCTGCATCTTGCTCGCCGGGGCCGTGCAATGCCCGAGGGGGTGGGGGATTCCCCGCCGACGGCTGGCGCCCACCGGGGAACGCACGCCCCGGCTGATTTTAACTCGTCCTGGCGCTTTCAAAGCAGCACAACGCGGACCACCGCCAGCCAACCTCCCCGGAAGAGGCCGGCGGCCGAGGCCGCTTACCTCAGGCCGGGCGAGCTGCGGCCGGCTCGGATCCTCTGCACCCGCAAGGGGAGGCCCAGAAGGCAGCTCAGGGCCGTCGAGACCCTCAGGATCTGGCCACCCTGCAACGGGGTGGGGTGCGGGAGAAGTACGATCAGCCATCGCGCTCCTCCCCGGCCAGGCCCGCAGCCGCGCCGCGCCGGGGTCGGACTCCGCACTCACCCCTTCCAGCACAGCGCCGTCCACCTCCACTCGCTGCCCCGCCATGAGGGACCCCACGGAGTGCGGCCGGCCACCACCCACACGCCGCCGAAGCGGAAGGAGGACGAGAAGCCGTCTCCCACCCAGCGGCTCGGCAGCCTCGGCGCTCGCACCGGGGGCTGGGGCTTTGCGGCAGCGGAGCAAGCGGCCTGAGGCTGAAGTACCGAAACTCGGCGCCGGGAAGCGCAGCGCGCACCGCCCGGCCGCCAGCGCGCATGCGCGGCGCGGCGGGCGCTCCGGGCCGACTCCCGGCGCTGGCTTTTGGGACGCTGGGATGCGGTGTGGCGGCTGGGAGGCGCCCTGGCTCCACGTGGGAGCTCCAGCCCTGGCCCACTGGTGTGCTGCATTTCCGTTGTTGGAACACATGGGTCCAACTGTTCATCATTTGCTAAAGTGGGTAGGCAGATTTGAGAAAGTGAGGTGTGACCAAAAATTTATAAAGGAAAAAAGTACCCAACAGACCACTCTCACTAATGTTCTGACTAGAAACACCATCCTATTTGCAGGGATAATTCAGATGATCCCAGAAACTTCCACAAGTGGAATTATTACCACAACTGACAAAGACCATCATCGGAGTAAATTTTTTATGATTTGTGTATTTTAAAATCTATGTATTAATTAAACTATAAGTTTATATGTAATGTTTTCAATTTAAAAAACGGTTGGATTTATAATGCTACTGATAACTGCTGTTGAGTTGTTACAAACTCATAGAAATCATATGTACGACAGAATTAAACACTTTCCAGGCTTGCGCCTTTGTTTAGGCTTTCAGTATTTGACATAAAATTTAAACCAGTGGTTTAAAATCAAGAAAGGTGTGTCTCAGCTTTCTATCCTCTCACCATACTGGTTCAATCTGTATGCTGAGCAAATCATCAAAAAGGCTGGATTATATAAAGAAGAATGTGGCATCCGGATTGAAGGAAGGGTAGTTAACAATCTGCGGAATCCAGATGACCCAACCTTGCTTGCTAAACACAAGGAGGACTTGAAGCATTTACTGATGAAGATCAAGGATTGTATCCTTCAGAATGAATTACAACGCAACGTAAGGAATACCAAAATCCTTACAACTGGACCAATAATAAACATAATGATAGAGGAGAAAAGATTGAAATTGTCAAGGATTTTGTCTTGCGTGGACCCACAATCAGTGCTCATGGAAACAGCAGTCAAGAGAACAAAAGATGTATTGCATGTAGAT